AGGGTGGGGAGGAGGTGGGGCGGGGATATGAATTCCCTAGAGTCTTGGTTCACATATTTTGGTGTAAAGAGGTCTCGGATGTCCTGACTGGTGGCTAGCACACTTCAGTTCCAGGCTGGGAGCCACCACAACTTGTTAGAGCTTTATGAGTTTAACTTCTTGAAATTACTAGTTTTTTTTTAATACTGCTGCTTATCGAATGTGGGACTCAATGAAGATAGTGGCAGTGGGAATTAAGGAGTTCTCTAGGATAAGCCTTGATGACAGGCATATAAATGGGTGAGAGTAGCAGTTTGGATACACGATGGTGATTTTGAAAACAAAGGAGAAACACGGTTCAGGGGAAGATAATTCCTCTTTAGATAAAGTGAATTTATATATTCCATGTGCGAAGGGGATATTTACTTGGATGTAAAGGTCCTGAGCTCAAGTAAGAGGTCAAAAATAGAGATGTAGATTTGGGAGTTATCAACACAGAAAGGTGAAGCCCTCTCTGGATATGAAACGGTCTGGGAAAAGTATATAAAATAGGAAAGAAGAAAAGGCCACTTAAGTCAACTGGAGTGACTAATTCCCAACACAATTTGAATCTATCTACTTTCTACAACTATTGCCAACAAAAAAAAGTATATTGCAGTGTGTAAGCAGGTGACCATAAACCAGCACAACACTCAGAAAAATATCCTCAATTTTAATGTTTAAAGGGTTTACAATTAATAAAACACTCTTACTTAGAGGTACATTAGTAGGTCTTGAACATTCATGTTTACAACCATTTAATTTTCCCAGTCAGTCCTGTCATTTTCTGAAGTTGTCTTTGCTGTCTAAATCTTTTTGATCACCTAAAACTCCAAGTGATATTTATATTTATTTGCCCTTGAAATCTTTACAACTATTTGACAGTATGTGCCTGCTAACCTCAAATAAACATACGCTTTTATCAATAAATACTTGAGTTTTTAGGCTCTACAGTAAACTGGTAAAACACAAATAGATCATCTTCCGTAGTAAAGCTATCTCTCCATCAACCTAACCAACCTGTTACTTATCTTCTCATACTACTCACAACACAAAGCCTCTGCTCTCCTATCCCAAAAACTGTTTCACAGACTCTGAATTCCCCCAAACTCCTACACAAACATTCTGCCATTAGTTCCTTTTCCATCTACAATATGGAAAGGCTATCGCAATTCTATTCTTACACCAAGCTTCAGTTCAAGAATTATGTAAAACAAATATTTACTAAGTGCCTTCTCAAGCATTCCACTTTAAATGAAAGTTATTAATTTTAAAAATTTGTTTTGGGGCCGGCCAAGTGGCGTGTTGGTTAAGAACTGGCTTGGGATGCCAG